AGGTAGTGTTAGCCCAGATGATAATAACTAATTACTCAGGTTATGGATGCTGTGAGAGATTTAGAAAGTGTCCTGGATATTATTCACCCACAGTGTTTAATAAAAAATGCACACGAGTTTTCATTATAGAAAGGGATCTGACGATATGCATTTGCCATGTGAATTTTGGTTCTCATATAACTTGCTTTTGAGCATGCCATTCCACCCTAAAAAGCCTTTGGAGGTAGAACTAGTGTATAGTTTTGGTTTTTCTCCCATACTTGTCCCTATTTTGTCATATTAAATGACTAATCTTGTCAGCCATATTGTGAACCAGAAATGTTCCAGTTCAAAATTAAAAGACTTTTTCGAGTCATTTTTGTGAAAAAGAAACCTCATTTGTCTCAGGCTAAACACAACAATAGATTTAAATAATTTCTGATTGAGAGTGAAAGCAACATACCTGCTCTTTATTTTTGCTCTGGGGGGTAACAGACACATAAAAATGATCCTTCCTTTCTCTCTATACACATATTCTTGACAGCTGAAGAACAAGAGGTCTGTCTTTAAAAGTTCATGTAACATGTAAACTAGAGAAAAATTACTAACAAATTTATTCTTCACCACCTTTTGCAATGGGAACTTTGCTTCCCACAAGGGAAGAACAGGACTTGGCTGGAGGGATAATTCTCTCACTCTTAACAGAAGTAAGGCATTCAAAAACTCAGGTCCACTCCCTCCAGATATGATGAAAGAAATACTAATTACATGAATGGCACAATTAAAAAAGACAATCCATTTTATTTTCTAGAATTCCCATTTACTAAATAAGTGCCAATGGGGAATGACTAAATAATACTATACCTTTCCTATTTTGCTGAGGAACAGCTGTGTTTTCCTAATTCCAAGCATGAATCAACAGTTATTTTTTTCATATCCCTCTCCATTTGAAATCTTCAGAATTAATCTCTGCCATTTTCCATACCATTTTTTACCATAAGCATACCAAAACATACAATTTTCTAAAGTGTGTTTACTGCAACAGCATTTTGGCATGCCCTCATTTACTCTGTGGATGGGGGGTGCAATACTGTGGGGCCTGATCTGGTCCAAATCTTGCCTCTGCCTGCAGTGGTTTGTACCAACATTCCAGATTTAGAGGATATAGCCTTTTTGGAAAGTGAATTGTCTGTTAATTAACTTCCCTGTCCCTGCTTGAATTAGGTCTTGTCCTAACAATATCAAAACCACTAAAAGAATATCCTCTTAAGCAATCTCATCTGTTTTCATGAAGGGCAAGTTACTATTTTCCTACCACCATTACTAAGTTTCATCTATTTTTAAGAAGAAAACACATACACGATTTTTTTAGTTTGTTGGGGGTTTGGACTTTGGTGGGTATTTTCTTTGTTTGGGGATTTTTTTTTTTTGTTTATTTGTGGCTTTTTCTCACTTAGAATTGTACTACTGCTAAAGTATTCTCTTTTAATTAGAAAGTATTTTTTCAGTACATTTTCACTAAATACAGTGTGCTCCAGATGCTGCTTTGTGTCTTGAAATAACTGCCAACAGATTGCAAAACTGCAATGAAATAAATGAAGAAACTGAAAAATAGTTTAAAAGACATGTATTTTGCAGGAGGGCAGTGCCATCAACTAATCTTTATACTTTATATAAAAATATGTGAAATTATACCCTAACCAGTCCAAAAATTAGAAACATTTTATTAATGTGTAACTACATGAAAGGGGTATAAATTTATATTTTTAGAACAAAAAAAAAAAAAAATTTTCTGCCCATGGCTTTTGAATAATTCTCATGGCTTCTGAATAATACAGATGGACATAAATGAGTGTGGATGCAGCCCTGATGCCAGATGAGTCACACAAAGAACTTCTGGGAGGGAGGTGAAACAGGAGCTTCACCCACTTGGCATCATCCCAGGCTGAGGAGTGCTCCAGCTGGCCTGTGTCTGCTTGCATGAGTGACACAGGCAATGACCCCCCAGTGATGCCACACAGGCATGTTTCTCCTGTGGCTTCCAGAGCCCACCAAAAGCATTTACAGAAGACAGCACCTACCAGTGGACCATGAAATATCTAGTACTGTCCAGATACAGCATCATTTGTCACCAAAGTGGGTTGCTAAAGCATAAAAAACTCATACATGAAGCATCTTGCCCACCCCCAAGGAAAACAAGTAACAAAACCAAAACCCAGAAGGGAATCATAGCAAATACTTGTCTTCAGAACTGCATTTTTCCTCTAGAATTAAAGAGAAAATTATTATAACCACCTTCCTCTGATCTGAAATAATTTTTTTTTTCCTTAAGAAACAACATGCTTTCCTCAAAAGCAGATGCAAAATCCTCTCAAAATAATTTGATTTGTGATCCATAAAAATGAAGAAAACAGCAAGCTACTCTGAGTTCACAACTCTTCTCCAATATGAAAATTTGTCTTAGATTGCCCCATCATTTATCAAACTACTGTGAAAGTGCTCTAAGCATATCCACATTGACTGCAGAGCTGGAGTCCTTCTCTAACATAGCTAGTTGTGTACTCTGGGCATCTCACTTGCTGTCTTGTAAAGCCAGTGTCATTCCACTCCTATGGCTTTGCAAAACAAAGAATAAATATCTTAAAACAATACATTTGATTATACAGAGCTAAGGGAAGAGGGATCTGATTATCAGTAGCAGAGATTACAGCTAACATTCAAATGATAATTTGGTTTCAGTGTTCTTACTTAAATCTGATAGAACCAGGAAAGTGCTAAAGGACAGAAATGTTGAAGGTGTTTATCTCTCATACAAGGCTTCAATGTCTGTTTCTTAGGAAGGTTTTGAAAAGTGGAGTGTGGCACAGTTTGAATCCTTTCCTTGTGTTTTTCTATTTTGGATTACTACATAAGTATGGCCTGCTCTTGGTTCTATTTAGACTAAAGTCTGAGGTGAAACCTCAGTGTAAACTCAAATAGTACTGGGCTAACATACTGAAAGGTGGGCAGGAGAGAAGAGGAAAAGAGGAGGCAAAGAGGAGATAAAACCTCTTTGTAGATGTAAGTGAAGAGATAAGTGAAGAAAGGCGTCTGAAGATTCAGTCTGGAAATTGTCCTGGGCAACCTGGTGTAGTGGAACATGTCTTTGACTGTGGCAGTGGGTTTGGGGAAAAAAAAGGGAAAGGGAAAAAGAAAAAAAGAGAAAAGATAACTAGGCATTTTTTGCATCAGATATAACACGTAACAACATTTATTACACAGTGAATTTCAAATGAGATACAGTCAGTCTTAAAATTTTCTGACCACAGCATTTTGAAAAAATATTTTCAGGATTTCTCTAAATTTACTATCATCTAGTCCTAGAATAGGTTTTATGGCTCTGATTCTATTATACCAAAGAGTGGATATTTTTTTAGTAAGTAATTGAAATTGCAGTACCTAAAGTTTATTTTAAGCTTCCTGATCTTTTCTGACTACCTGCTAACAACTGAGTGTTGACATACAAATGTTGAATAGTCCCACAAACATAACAATATAAGTAGTTTCTAAAAATAGGCTGGTTTGTTTCCCTCCCCCCGCCACATACCCTTTGCTAATTTTCAGTGACACTCAGCCATGAAAACAGCAGAAACCCAGATCTGTAGGTGACTCTCCAACTTGAATGGAGCATTATCAACATAGAATATTTTAGTCCACAGAGAAATTGGAAAAACAGGAAAAATGCAGTCGGGCATACCACAGAAGGGACATTCAGTATCTTGTATTGAATGGCATGATTTTAGAAACCTGGTTGTCTGTTTTTATTTGCAACTCAGAAGACATTTCTCAGGTCTTTCTCAAGGTAGGTGGCATCATCTTGTTAACAAACAGGCCTGCACAGAACACCCACAACTGCAAACAGATTTGTTGAAACCTAACTGCCATTGTTTCAACTGTCTTAAACTAACTTAAAGACCTTCTCTCAGATGTGATTTTATATTACTTCATCTTCATTTCTCTGGTGATTATGTATTGGATAACTTTACAGAGACACGTACTTTCAAAGTATTTTAGGCAACAGAGAGCCCAGTGCCTTCAAGACATCTGTCACTTCCAGAGCTGGAGCTACTCTCCTTTCAAAGTTCTTCTTGAATGTACTTTCTAGAGGACAAGATTGCAATATTTACATTGGCAACCAAAATGCCTTACTCAAGGCAACACAAGGAAAAAGGGATAAGATTCAGTAAAGTTCCATTTGGATTTGATAGGGCTGTCATTTTATTACAGATTGGGGTTTCAGCTTTGCTACTTCATCTCTGTGAAATTGTATTGAGCATAAAGTACAAATGATCCATAGCTTAATAAGTGGCAGTATAGTAAATAAAAGTTTTTTGTCTCTACCTTCAAAATATGTGCATTTCCATAACAGCACTCTACTAGGAAAACAAAGAATAGAGCTTTGATATTCATGAGACAAAAGCAGTCTAGGATCTTAGAAATGCCCCTGTTGACCAAGGTTTTAAATCATATTAGATGTTACTGCCTATGAAACATTTCCACAAAGTAGAATTGTCTTATAAGGCTTGCTCTAACACTTTTCAATTAAATATAATAATCTAATCTGTAAACTGCTGTTATAAATTAGTGATGCATTACACAAACGGAGGTAATTTAGAGAAGCCCACTGATCACCAACAGGAAAAATTTCTGTGATGAGCCTGATATTTCCTACCTTGAAAGAACAATCATAATATTTCAAAGATGAGTGCTATTTGTATTTAAGTGTGGCTCAGTATTGATAGATGTAATAAACTATATTTTAAAAGGAAGACTTTGATGCAAGAAAAATGTTTTCTACAAGCCTTTACACATATAATAATGAGTTCTTGACAATATTAATGCATGTTCTTTTTCTTTTATTTAGGCACAGCTTATCAAGATAACAGACTGAGGAAAAAGATCTGTCGTGACTGAATAATTCATGTATTCTGTCTTCACACTGAAGCGATACGCGGAATAAATAAATAGACTCCACAACTTGGGGTAGTTCTGAAGCGGGTATGTATTGCCAGCGCCGACACAAGTGAGATCGCTCTCCAAGACTTGTGCCCTGAGCCTCAGTCTGACCCAAACCTTTATTCCCAAAGGTGTTCCATATGCAGTACATTACACAACTTCCATGCATATTCAACCCCTGGCCCCGCCTGCCCTCGCCCCTCATGCTGAATAGGTCCACGCCCTTCTGGGCACACGTGGTTTGCCATGGTGGTCCTGCGGGGGTCTCTGGTGGTCTCTTGGGGCTGAAGATTGTGGTCTTCTTCATTGTTGAACTTTTGAACTTTTCTCCTTTGTGCGTGTGCATTTGGCCCTGTCTGTCAGTCTTGGTAGGCTTAGGGACAGACGAGCCTCTTTATCTGGGTTCTTGGTATCTTCGGTCATTTCTGGTATTGTTCTTTATGCAAGAAGCTGCAGAAATTTGCATTTTCTTATGCCCTTTTGTACCTTGGCAGAGGTTTCTTAAGTAAAAGGTCAAAATTCAACACATAACTCTACAAGCTACAATATAAATGCTTAATTCATTTTGTTAACATGAGTGAACTCCAAAAATCTCTGTTTCAACATAAGCAATACACTAATATTAATAGAAAGAGCAGAACCAGGGAGTATGTTGGTACAACCAGGCTATGTAAGGCTGTCTGGCACCAAAACATGATCCAATTTTAATGCATGACTCCAACCCCTACCTTGTAATAGACATGAACCAGAATATCCAGTCAGCCAAACAAAAAATACAGAATATTTAAAACCAAGATCCAAATTCATAAGACCTATTTCTGTTTGAGGCACAATAATTTTAATATGCTAATGAAATTAATTTTCTGATGCAATGTAATTGACTTGATATATTTCCTTTGCTACCGATAACTTGTCTGTGTGCCATTAATTCTACAGCATAGACAGCAGAGAATTCAAGGTAAACACACTACCAGAGCAAATTGCTGAGACAAACTGAGAATATAATAAGCATCATGAAAAATGCAGACAATCCTAGACCCTGTACATTTTAAGAACAGCCTCCAGGTTTGTACAAATTATTTCAGGATTAAAGCAAATACTTGTCCCAACAGAAATAAAAAACACAATGAGAAATGAGGTTACGAGTCCCTGCAGAGTATTAGCACCTGCTCCCAGCTGCTGGAGTGCAATAAAAAGGAAAATTATGTTTAACTCAGTATGAAGAAACTCAAGTGTGGCTAAGCTTCTATATATTATTCCAATAACTGAATAAGATTCTCTTCATCAGGCTAGCTAGTACAATCTGGAGCAATACATTCAGTTATTCTCCCTGCCTTTTGTGGAGGTATTTGAAAACACTGAAAATACTGGGATTTAAAGAAACTGGCTTAGGTGAGCTGCACTGAATGTTCGAAGGATAGGTGGTTGTCTGTGGCTGTCCTGGTCTTCCTTGAGCACAGCCATCCATCCTTGGGCTTTTGCAGCCATTTGTAAAGTCCTTGGTTGCAGTGTTACCTACATGGCCACACAGACACCTACAACAGCAGTTCTCCTGCTCTGAGAGAATAAATTCTACCTGTAGGCATTTTTCCTTCATTGGCTGTGAATGCTAATCAGGATTTGACCAGACGTTAATGGGCCAAAAAGTCATTTATCAAGCAGAGTTGTTCTGCTATATCCATTTGGCAATCTTTTCTTTCCCATTTGCTACCAGAACATTACTTTTGGCATAATTTCCTCTTGAAATAATTCTTTCAGTAATTTCCAAAATATTGGCATAAAAAATCAGATGCTTTAAGGAAACAAATGTGTGCATTTTTTTGGTCTTAATCTTTATTGAGATATTAGTTCCCACTGTGATTCTGGATCAATAGCCAGCTTTCCTGGAATACAGATGAGTGACAGGAATTTTCTTCAGTAGCTATCCAGCTCTCTTATGAGATTATGGATATTGCAACATAATTACTCTGTTAATAATCAAATTTGGCCTTCCATAACACATGACTTTCTCAAATTTTAGAAATGTCCATTTTTACCATCTTGACATTCCTGTTATGGTTCTGACAGGTTTTAAGGAGTTTGTCTATCTAATTACCAAGTACTAAGTGGAAATCTTCATCTTGAAATGATCATAAGAGCATTATTAAGGGAAAACAAAGCATTCCTTCTCACACAAAATCTTGCCTCCTTGCTAAGGAATAAATTCTGAGTAATAAATTTTTTTAAATAGTCCTCTGTGGAACCTTCCTACACACTGTAGTATACTTTGCAAAGTTTCTTCTATTGGATTTATAGTGTCAGTACATGGTAGAGCAATCCATGTGAAACTGAGGTAAGCACAAAAATAACTTGCCTAAAATACCAGCCTCCTAAAACCAAAGCTACAACCCAGCTCACAGTGAAGTAGCCAAGATAACAGTAACAATATTTTATACGTCCCTTGATGCTAGGAATTTTACACATGATGAATCTCCTGCATAAAAACTTGCTGTCCACTTAAACCAGGAAAAAATACCCTACAACTAATGACAATTCTGGCTCCAGTGCCCAGTTTTTATTAGAGTTACAGTGGAAGAGCATGTTGAAACCCTGGGGAAGCCCAGCCACACACCCACATTTCATACACCATGCTATATGGGCATGAGTTGGCATTACACAGTGGTAAAGCCCAAGGAGAAGTGGTGGCCATTTGCCCTCTAGTTTGGTCAGAGCACAAATAGAAGCATGAGCAGCAATAGCAGTTCATGAAAGCTGTAGAGATACACTGGCTGCAGCTATACTCAGCGATCCATCCTGATGCTTCTGCTATCCTGCTGGTGCTGCAGCTTCCAAGCTGAAATTATCCTTTCCCTTTGCTCTCTCATACCTTCACAGATTTTCTTTTACATGCCCTCTAAAACTCATTTCTGCATCAAAACCTGCCTCTCACTGTGCATGGTCTGGTTCTCTAGGAGACAGAAGAGTTAGACTGAGAACATAGAATGAGAAAGATCTCAGTGCACTGGTCATTCCCAGGGATGGGAAAAGCCACACCTATAGTTTGGAACCACAGATTTAACAGACAGAGACAAGAAACAGAAGGGTTCTGCAGAGATTGCCTGGTCCTGCCCATGGCATCTAGCCAGATATCTGCCCAACCTGTTCTCACCACAATGCTTCAATCAGCGAATCTCTGCCGTTTTCCTACTGAAACATTTCCATTGCTTTGTTCTGGTATCCAGAACTTTTTCCCAGCGTGCGTTATGAATTTCCTTTGCTGCAGTTCATGCTTACTACATCAGATAGGCCTTAAAAAGTACTTCGAACAGGATCTCTTGCCTCTCCCACATTTCCCTCCACAATCTTCTGCATTTATACATTTATATTTTTTCTCAGTCTTTTCTTCCCTGCAGTAGGAATCCCTACTTTCTTCAATTTTTTTTACCCATAGTTCAGGGTTCTTTTCATAACTTACAAGATATGAGGGATCTCCTTAGGAGTCTACACCTTGTTCTCATATATTTCTTGAAAAGCAAAGCCTGAATGAGAATGCGGTACTTTTGCTGAGGTCCTGAAATGGCTCTCTGTTTTCACTAGTTTTGAGATAAAAAAGGTTTTATAGGGCTAAAAGAATGATAACACAGTCATTCCATGTCTTTTCCCCACTGTTTTCTTTTACTAGAGAGGCATTCTGGTTCATTATCTGTTACACTTGTGCATTTATGTAGTCCCAGTTTTAAGTAGGATAATTGTTTAAGTTTTGGAAGTTATATCACTAAGTTAATACTTTCTTATCTTTTCTGCGGAAATCCACAACGTTAAACATGCAATATAATCAGGAGAGCTTCAATGTAAAATAAGTACTATAAGGTAAGAAGAAAAGAGCTACTGGAAGACCTTTAAATACCTTTATTTGGAGGATTCTCCTTCTGGCAGTGTCTGCAGCAGGGTGAAGATCTTCTGAATCCTCCCGGGGCTTTCTGTTATGGACAGATGACCAGAAATTCAGTGAAAAAGTTTCTACCTACAGGAAAGTACAGTTTCATTGAAAACTAAACATTATGTGTTGATTGATACTTTTAGTCTGATCATATCACAATAATTGCTGTTTCAGTAGAGGAAAACATATGTCTGACAATATAAGTGTTTCAAGTTGACTATCTTAATATTGAAATAGTGACTGTCTTAATATTAAAAAAAAAACCCACATAATTTAATTCATCTGAAAAATTAACAGCTTTTTCTGAAACTTCATTTGTTCATCATTGTCATCATCATCATCTAATATTGTCAGCATCAAATACTCCATGAGGCATGAATTCTAATGTTTGAAAAATTTTGTTTCAGTGGAAAGCTTTACTATCTGTTTTAATTTGAATGGAACAAATTACCCACAGAATGGAAATTTCAGCTTCCAGCCACCTCAAGCGCTGTGATTTTGTAAGAAAGTAGCTCATTAGAAATTCTTTGTATTGCTTCTTGAATGTCTGGTGTCAGTTAAAAGGCTTGATATACATTTTTTCTCAATTTACTGTACATTATTAATTCAAAGCACAACCAAATAAATTTCTGAAATCCAACTTTTTGCCATGATGAATATTTAATATCTTGACCATGTTTGTCACCATTACAAAACAGAGTATGCCAAGCTAAGCCTGGACTGCCACATGGCCTCACCCTCCCTGTATGCAAGCAACAGCAATCAGCAGCTGCATCTCAAACCAAGTTAAGGTGTTGATTTCATTCCTTTTTGTTGTTGTCGCATTACTTTTCAGCAGCTTGAACCAACTGGGCAAGCTGACTGTGTAGCTGTGTGAGACTATATCTGGTGTTATTATTTGTGTGTTTACCATTCTTATCATACACATCCAGTCTTGCATGCAAGCTCTTCCCTTGTGGAACAACTGAGCCAGCACTCCAGAAATCAAATGTGTTCTGAATACCTGGGAAGCCAGTTGATTTTTTTTTTTCATTTAATTTTGCAGTAAGTTATTCTATGGAAATATAACTATAAATGCACTTTCTTTTTCATCATATTATTTCTTAATGAAATGCAGATAAAAAGCGAGTTGTCAGCACTCCCTCATCTGTCACAGGAGTGCCTGCCAACCCATTTCCTTTCCCATCAATGTGAGCATATCATCTTCGTCATATATACAGTCATTGTGTATTCAGAAAGAAACAACTTCACATTTGGATTCACAATTCACACTGTGTGGTTGTACCAGGAGTTTACCAGTATCTTCTTCTCAGATCAGAGATGCATTCAGTCCCACTCTACTTCAGCCCAATATCAGCTTCTAATTCCTACTTCCCCTTCAGGTTTCTTCCTGATTGCTCATAATTATTTTATTGGGGATCTAATTTGTTCAAGTTACCTAAGGGCTGTGGGTATGCTGTTCTACTCATCAGGATAGTTAAGCTGAAGGCAGTGAGTCTACTCCTCCTCTTGACTGCAATCACACGGCTGAAACAAATCCAGAAAGCTCAGCACCTCTTAGGGCAAAACCTTTATTACCATTAATACCTTATCACTAATTGTGGAAGGGAATAAATGACGTTCCTTCTTGCAGTCTAAAAATACCAAACTTTGCCCCAAAACCATTGAAGGCAGCACAGTACTGAATGTCCCTGCACCAGTACTGGGAACTGTAACACCCATTTCTGACTATCCAACTTTTTTATGTAATGCAGCAGAGGATCAGAGATATTGCTTCTTTCCCCTGTAACCAGAGGGGAAATGATGGAACATTCTTTAGAGTAATTTATGTCAGCCATGTACGCATTTAAACCAATAAAAAATTCTGCCAAATATTCCTCCAAAGCCGAAGTGTGCTCTTGAGGAGATTTCATTTTTTTTTTTTTTTAACAAAGCCTCTGTAGAAGAATCCAGGTAATTCTTTTGAAGTTATGTTATGCCTGAGAGTTACATATGATAGCCCCTGGCTCTGTTAGTGTTATTCATCCTCTATACTGAAGTCTTCTAACTTGAGCAAATTTACATTGGACCAGAGCCTGACACAACATATTAGCTCAAATGTAAAGAACTTGTTTGGGTTTGGTGGGGGAAATATTTACTGAAAACAGAGTTTTTTAAACATTGATTGTGATCAGTATAAATTAATATTTAGATTGTTTGGAACCTTTTCACTGTAAAAGAATCAATCAAATTATAAAAGAGAATCAATGTAAAAGAGAATCAATTATGAACCTTATCCTAATTTTCTAAACTTTTATGTTTATCTTCGAGCTAGTTTTTAATGCCTGCTGTTTCTCAAGACATAGCTATCATCAGAGAAGTCTCATCACTCAAAGGGATTAAAAACAAAATCTCAAAATCAATTTGAGAGATTAAATATTTTTCTTTAAGAAATATGTTCTATTTTGCCCTAAAAACTCTTAATCATTGAAAAGACACTTTAGCATATACTGAAAAAATTATAAGTGTTTACATTTTTCATTTTTTGCTTTTTCATTTTTCATTGTTTGATTTTCTATAATTTACGGCATGTAAAGTAAACTGTTAGCTGTTTTCTCATAGCTTTTCTCTGTTCTGGCAGTTTGCATTGTTCAGAACCAGCAGAGAATCAGTTGAAGTGGCTCAGTATCTAAGGGCATTCCAATATGCATGATACAAGTAAACAAGGAGGACTACCAAATAGCCCAGGGCAAGAAAGTTATTTCTTCACTAGTTGGAGTACAAATGACCCATGAATTCAACTGCTATGGAAATAGCCTCACCATTGAGTCTCAGCTCTAAGGTATTCCTGTTCCCAATGCCTCCACCATACATTTGGGGTATTTGTTGTCGTAATCAATTGGGAATCACTTGAATGAAGCCTGTGCTTCAGGAGAGTCTTATCTGATACTTTTGGGCATGGAGAGAGACTTTATAAAACATTCAGAGACAGTTTTGCTATTGCATTTTGAGACACAGTCATTCACCTGCCACTTCTATTAATATTATTTGCTCATATTTTTTGCTTATATTTGCTCATATATTGCTTCATCTGTTTTATCACCAAAGTCCTTCCTTGCATAGACAAACTCAGTGATGGCATGTCTGAAAGGCAAGGAGAAGATAGGGCCTTATATAATGCTATCACCAAACCATAAATAAAAAAATGTTATATGCTATTAAACTATAAATTCTATAAATAATTATTCATTTGGATTATTATCAAATTTATATCAAATTCTGTCTGCATATAGGTTGATATTTTGGTGTATTATGCTTTATGCCCGGAAAATCTGACTCCTCGTCCCCTGTCCAGGCACCTTCTCCATGACCCTGTTCTGCCTCACTCTGTTTAAAAAAACAGACTGAGAGAAAAGGCTGTGTTTCTTCAGACTGGACTAATATAATTTCTGTCCTCAGGTCATTATAGAGGAGACTGAGTTGAGTCTTCTCAGACGTGCATGGTGAAAAGATGGGAAATGGACATAGGTCACAATATGGGAAATTCCTGAGGGAATATATTTGAAAAATATATTTTGATTCATTGAGGGTGATTACATGCTCGAAATCATGATTTTTGAGTGATAATTTGTTGTATGTTTGTCATTAGCACATCCATTTTTTAAGATAAATGATTCTTCTAGACTTTATTAAGTGTGTCTTTACTGAAAAAGGAGAAGGCAAGTATTTTTCTCATAACCCAACTATAAACCAACAGAATCTATGATTGGCACATCTCTTTTTGAGCAGTCAAGCTGCAAACCTTTGTGATTGCCCTGAGCTTCCTACAGGAAGATGGAAGGTCTTCCTGCAGTGCATCCCAACCACAGTAAAATATATAACCAAAATATGATGGAAGTTTCAATATAGGAGAGGTCACTGAGAGCCAGAATGGGCCATTGTCTAATCAGGGAAAGATGCCATATCCTATACCTATTAACAGTTAGACAAGGAATTTGTTCTGCAACAGTTCCAGAGAATTTGTGAACTCTGGGCTGAACAGACCAAACAGGGGCAAGCACTTCCAGTAGAGGGGACAGGTATGTGGCTGTGAATTTTTCTTCAGGTTATCCCTTCCCTTTCCACCAATGGAGAAAAAGTGCCCAGGCTCAGTTCTTCCATCTTTCCATTTGGGATTGATTCTTACGAAGCAGTAAAGACAGCAGTGTGATAGGATAAGTGGTACAATGACTAAAACAGCGATTTTATGGATTACATGATTATCTTTTAATTTCAAATCAAAAATAAATTTTTAAGAGACCTAAACTTTCACTGATATGTAGGCAAACGTGTGCGTTTGTCTCAGTCCCTATTTTTCTCACTTAATGAAAACAGAATATGAACTTTTTTCTAGACAGGTTATTTCTTTGAGATTGTTGCAAAAATGAGCTTCCACATTTGCTTTCATAATAATAATTTCAACCAAAGACAAAAAGTATTGCCTTCAAGAATCAGCTTTGTACATTTGGTAACTTCTCCAGCTTTTCCTTGATGGTAGTAACTGCCAGCTGCAGAACTCAGAGTGCCTTTGGATAAGTGTATTAAGACAAGAGAGCTTATTTAAATTGTCCCTTAGGGGAAAACTACTTTAAAACAACAACAACAAAAGTACTTCTGACATCTAGCAGCTTCTAAATTTATAACTAGTTTAACAGCTAAAATATTTCTACTTGGTGCTGCTTTGACAGATGATATACAATAACATCCTACATGGCAAGAAGGAACACATACTATATATACAGTGGGATTTGAGCAGTTAAAAATCCATGTCTAAACTGCTGTATCCAAAAATTATTATATTTCCTTTTCCCCTTGGGTGCACAATTAGCTGTAAGCTCCAAGGGCATGCCAGAAATAGCAAAGCATCACAAAACCAACACAGTAAAAACTCTCAGAGCCCAAATCCATCTGAATGGGTAGCCACCACAGACCCTGTCTACTCTTCTGTAATTTCCATTTTATGAGCTTGAACTTTGAAGAGCTAAGAACAAAAGCTGATTTTGTTGCTCTCTTTTAGAGGCAAAGAAATCATATCCCGGATTCATCCCAGGGAATTT